TTGCACTCACCAATTCCCTTTGAAAAAACGTTTGAACGAATGGTGACCTCTAGATTGGTGTCTTTCTTAGAGCAGAAAAACTTCTTCGACAAATTCTAATGCGGGTATCAGATGAGGCAATCAACTGTTGATCACCCTTTTCGCTTAGAAAAAACAGTCGGGGATGCCTTTGTAAGCAAACAACAATGTTTATAGGTGTTCTTTTATATTGACAAGGCATTAGATTCCACATGGCGATACGGAATTTTAAGTGATTTAGTTTCAGCCGGAATTCGTGGGAAAATGCTAGCTCTTATCAAGAGCTTCCTTGATGAGTGCTTGTTCCAAGTGAAGCTGGGCACGACACTTTCTGAAATGTTTGTCCAGCAGGATGGTGTTCCCCAAGAGTGTCATTTTGTTTCTGATCAAAATGAACTCTCTTAGACAGGTTCTTCCCCGATCTCTCTCCTACGCACTTTATGTTGATGATGTACCAATTTCCTGCTCTTCTTGTAATTTAGCCATTTGTGAATGCCAAGTTCAACTAGGTATTAATGGAATGACAGGTTGGGCAGACGAGAATGGTTTCCGTTTCTCAGCAGAAAAAACAGTCTGTGTTCTGTTTTCTGTTCGAAGGGTTATCATTACAGAACCCTCTCTAATTTTGGGAGGTCAGACGCTAAACATACATCCTGAGCATAAATTTTTAGGGGTTATTTTTTATAAGAAACTTAGCTTCTGTAGTCACATCTTGCAACTAAAAAAGAAATTCCTGCTAGCATTGAATATTTTAAAAGTTCTTTCTCACTAGTCCTGGGGTTGTGACAGAAGACGCCTGCTGCGTTTGTATCGGTGCCTTGTTCGATCGAAATTAGATTATGGTTGCCTGGTGTACGGGCTCGGCTCGGCCGTCTCTTTTTCGGATCTTGGATCCTGTCCATCACCTGGGACTACGACCTGCAAGAAGGCTTTTCGAACCTCTCCAGTTTCCAGTCTCTATGCTGAATCTAATTAATACTCCGGGAAAAAGACGTCTGTTCTTGGGCTTTCAATATCTCTTAAGAGTTTGTTCCATGCCTCGACATCCTGCACTCGAAGTGTTTCTGGACACGCGGTATGAAAGGACCTACCAGAACAAGCCTTCTGTTATACCTCCCTTCCCTCTGCGACTTAAATCTGATGCCAATACTTTTGCATAGATATATCAAGTCCGGTAGCAGCACTGCCCAGCCCAGGTGCACCCTGGAACATGAAACTAATTCCGATAAATTTTTCTCTCTCCAAGTATGACGAGAAGAATGTACCAGCGGTAAATCTTAGGCAAGAGTTCTTCCAAATCACCGAAAACTACAAAAACCTTACACAGTTTTACACGGACGGAATGAAGTGCAGGATTGTAGGATTGTAAAGCGGCTCAGCACTCGAGCCACTATTTTACTCGAGCCACTATTTTCTCGGCAGAGTCATATGCCCTACTGGGAGCTGTGGACACTATTATCAAAAGGATTATCAAGACTGGCGTAATTTTCGCAGTCTCTCTCTCGGTGCACTCCGTGCACTTGCATTCCTAGATAGATCAAAAAATGCTTTTATTCTGGAACAACATAACATGATTTGAATGGCCACAAACTCCAACTTCACCGTACATTTTTGTTGGGTGCCTAGCCATGTCAGTATAGCCGGTAATGAGGAGGCTGATAAAGCTGCCAGAACATGTCAAGAAATGGACACAGAAGTTCCCTGCATCCCATACCTGAATTACAGGTCATTATTGAAAAGGTAGATTCAAAAGAAATGGCAGGAGGAATGGGATACTGAAGTCCACAATAAACTCCACCGCGTGAAACCTGTTCTTTCTGAATGGGCCAGTTGCCGACATAAAGAGCGTTCTTATGAAGTTGTTCTTTGTCGCCTGAGAATTGGCCACACTCACCTCACGTATGGCTTCCTTCTGTGAGCCGAGGATGCTCCAACGTCTGAAGAATGTGATGAAATGCTCCGTCTTGCACATTCTCATTCAATGTCTGAAATATCATGAGGAGCGTCGCACCAACTTCTCACGGTTTTGTTTATAACCGTTAGGGCTTGAATATTTTTGCCAAATGTGAGCTCTGTGGATAATTGCATTGTAATACATCAAAGGGATGGGCACTGAACGGAAATTTGGATTTCACGACTTAATGTCGCAGAAGCGTTGAACGGGACGTTACGACCTCCAGACCCTTATTCGTAAACCAATATCTCAAACGGATGGACATATTTTTGAAAAAGAAGGGCACCATCAAGCAAGGACTGACATCATGAACCTCCTGGAACAGTTGAGAATGAGGGGAAGTGGCCTTGCTCCTATCCTCTCCTCGCTTCGGTTCACCAGCTCGACGGGACGAAGCGAGGAGGAGAGGGAATGAGAATCGTGACAGCCCATGTCTTGTCGGCCGTGTTCAATCACATATTTCTTTTCCAAAAATACGGCCATCCGTTAGACATATCGCTGTACTAGTGGTATTTTTGGGCTCTGCAGTGTCCCGCCCAGGGTTGCCAGTTCCGCTTATTATAAGCGGATTTGGGCTTCTCTTTTCACTGAGTCGCTGGTAGATTTTTCCAGTCGCTTGTCGCGTTTTTCGGGCTTATTCGAGATTTTTTTCGCAAATATTGTTATTTTATTGTTCGTCATGCTCCTTGACAGCGCGTTTGTTGTCAAAAACACGAAAAACAGCATGACCGTTTGGTGCTGCGGTTAGTTGGCGCAAGCTACCGTCCGTCACAAAGTACAAAACAATTACTAGCCATTCACAAATGTTTTGCCGCCTTGCCCATCTTGCCAGTCGGCAGTCGCGGTCGTCGTGTCTAGTGTCTATTGTATATTGCGCAAAATGGCTTTGAAGTGGTCGAAGTATGGCAAAAGATATTGCAAAGATGTGGAAAAGGAAACACAGCTTAAGGACTGGCTGCGACCAGTCACCGGAGACCATAGGTCGGCATTACAGGACCCACTCACTCACCATCACATCACAAAAATTGGAAGCCCATCAAAGCCATTTGCAATCACATCACAAAGTACACCACCGTTCAAAAGTCACAGCCCTTCACATCACAGACTTCAACCATGCGAAACACTCATAGCCAATCACATCACGCTGCCACAAACTTGCCCCCATCACAGCTACTCACACTCATGAGGAGGTCACACTCACAGCCAGTCACTCACATCATGGCCCCTCAGAGTCGCCCCCATCACGGCTACTCACACTTATGAGGAGAGGGTCCCGCTCACGGCCCCATCATGGCTACTCACACTCATGAGGAGGTCCCACTCACGGCCAGCCACTCACATCACGGTTCTTCAGAGTCGGCTACTCACGCTCATGAAGAAGAGGTCCCACTCACGACCCCATCACGGCTACTCACACTCATGAGGAGCTCACACTCACGGCCAGCCACTCGCATCACGGCCACCCTGCCACTCACAATCACGGTCTCGCATCCCCTCGTCGCGGGACTTCGTCGCTATACGAGCCGAGCCAGCCGAGTGGGTTGGCGCCTACCGCTCTTATGTTTGTTTTGATTTGTTCCTAGTTTTTTGGGTTTTTTTTAGTTCTTAACATTGAACCAGAGGCATCCATGCCACACAGGCACCACAGCGCTACTAAAAAGAAAAAAAAGATTAAAAATAACTATTATAACAAGAAAAATGAACCCTGCAATGTTTTTTTTTTCTTTTTTTCCTTTCAATTGCACCGCGCGAAATGGCGAAACCCACTTTCCCAAGGTCAACCAGATTCGGGACGACGACTGCCTGTTGTCCCCGGACCCCATCCCATGGGGAAAACCGCTCCGGGACAGGCAGGGAGCGTGTTCTGCAGCCAGCATGGTTGCAGCGCTGCAGGCTCGAAAGTCGAGACCCGAAACTCTTGTCCGCCGTCTTGTTTCCGCCCATCGAACGTCGTTTCTGGAGTGCAGACCGCGAACTATACACATTGAAATTTTACACGGTGCGGACTATCTGCAGGCTTGTTTAGTATCACGAAACAAATTTTGTGAATGAAGGAGTATGCTATATATATATATATATATATATATATATATATATATATATATATATATATATATATATATATATATATATATAGACACACACACACACACACACACACACACACACACACACACACACACAGGGTGTCACAAAAGAAAGTTTACATGGTCTTTTTTACCGCAAAAATAAACTAGGCATCGCCGAACGCTCATTCCCCGCCCAAAGGTAGAGCTAGAGGTCACAGCCAGATGCCAAAGTTTCAGCCCGATCCGATAACTTAATCAAAAGTTATTAGTGATTTTCTGAAAATTTCAATGGGAAAATGGCGACTGACGGAGTTTTCAAACACATGGGGCTCTATGGCACCAGAAACCGAAAGCGGGCAAAAATGGGCTCCATTTTCCCATTGAAATTTTCAGAAAATCACTTGTAACTTTTGATTAAGTTATCGGATCGGGCTGAAACTTTGGCATCTGGTTGTGACCTCTAGCTCTACCTTTGGGCGGAGAATGAGCGTTTAGCGATGTCTACCCTATTGGAAAATCCTGTATAAAATTTCTAATGGGTCCTGTATAAATATTTTTACCAGCCTATTGGATATGGGTCCCATAGATGTATACAGGACCCATACATTCATACAGGACCCGTATAAATGTACAGGACCCATACATTTATACAGGACCCGTATAAATGTATGGGACCCATACATTTATACAGGTTCTGTATAAATATATGGGACCCATATACATTTATATGGGTCCTGTATAAATGTGTGGGACCCATATACCTATACAAAATCCGTAAAAATGCGAGATTGTTTTACCATTTGTGGCCCATATACAGCACCCACTCAACATTCGGGATATGTATCAGTGCGAGACGTCCATATGTGTAGATGAATTGCCTCTGCGTCCGATCTGTGGCAAGGTGTAGCAGTTGTGCTTGGCTTACAAGCCTTGCAAAAAATGCAACAAACAACAAAAGCTTAATTTATAAACAAGACCTCGTTTTATTGTCCTCTTTCACTTGACACCTGAAAAAGTATAGTCAACATTGGACACTTGCTGCATCAGAGCTAGTAGCAAATTATCCCATGCATCTAAAATGTGCCTGTCAGATTACTATTACATTAGATCAGAATATTATTTTTTGAATGGGAACCAATGTTGGCATCAACAGCTCCAAAAACAAGGCAGAAAAACTGCCTTACTCTGATCCTGTCTAAACACTGGTGCCACTTCCGAGTCTATGAAGAGAGGCTAGGAAGCAAAAATAGTTTCAACACCTTTGGCGCGTTGTTGCCAGTGAACTGTGAGCATCAACATTATTGCAAGGTTACATAGCTACAAGAAAGAGTTCTGAGAAGGCAGTAAGCTCTCCAAGAAAAACGTACCTCTTCTTTTCTGTGTTTTCAGGCACAATCACTGCCAGGCAACTGCAAAATATACAAACACACTGAGGGCAAGAATGAATTCCCTAGAGCAATGCTTCCCAAACTCTGGTACCCTGCAACCCACCAAATAGTGGAGGTACCCCCCCCCCTTCCCCCCCCCCCCCTGCTTTTCACAATGCCACAAGCTTTTCGTTTCCAGTGTGCAAGCAGTTATACACAAAATTGATGTTCATGTTTTATTTCTCAGCTAAATGACAAATTTTTAGCTTTCGTTAAATACTACATAGGATGAGTCCTTGAACCCAAAAAACAGACAACTTTTCTTTCCAAGCAATGGCAGTCACAAAAATAAGTAGAGAAAAACGGGCAGCGTTCACCCCCTCAACTCGCAGAAACAACCAGCCACGTGATTTGGCGCCGATTATATGCTGCCAATGTTCATCATAGCCATGCGCCGGGCTTGGCAAAGCATAGGGCGCATGCTGGCCTCTGCACATTGTTAAAGCTCGGCTATTTTCGTCACCTCAGCGATTGGACATCAACCCAATACCAAAATGTTTGTCGAGGTGTTCATGTCACGAGTCCAAGTCATGCGCTGATTCAATGCTTGAATCCAATCGATGAGCCTCATTCAAATATTGTCAAATAGAGATCCCCTAGGATGTCATCCCAGCTACGATGTGATCAACTTTGCGAAGGAGAAAATGAAGGAAATGGGTGGATTTTATCCTTTCAATTGCACCGCTTTAAAGAAGCTTCTGGATCAGTAGCGTGTACAAATACACTTGGGTCACAGTGATGCCAGTATGTCTATGTAAAGAAAAAAAAAACACTCCAACACAATTTCTTTGCACGGCCCTTTTAATATAGGCGTCTACAGAGTAGAGCTAAAAACGGAAAAATAACAAATATTAAACCAACATGTTTTAAGCTCACAATTAAGCTTCTCTTGGGGTTGCAATCCAGTTTGGGATACACTTCGATTGAGAGATTTAGACAAGACATTTATATTTAAAACAAACTCTTTGAGGTCCAATATATCGAAGAAATATTTGCAAGATTGAAATTTAGCTTTTTTCAATATGAAAATTATGGTTGGGAATATATGGTGCTCATTGCTGCTTTCACTTTTAGTTCTAGAACATCTGAGACACACAGAACATAACAATTATTACCACTGAAACCTCGGAACACATATGGAAGCTCTGATTATATAGCTACAAGGAATAACTCCCTGCAATTCCTGTACACTATAAGGACGCAATCCTTTATGCATACTGGTTTTCTGGAGTTAGTTTGAGTTCACCTTTCATGTGAAATACAAGCAAAGCAACAACTTCCTTAACTGAACATTTTTTCCTACACTGCCCTTCAGAAATAAGTGGTGCACATATAATCATAATTAAATCCCATTACAACAGTGAACAATATTGTTACGGCCATGTAGCTAACCGATAGCTAGGCCTCGCCGCGTCAGCCACTTTCCTCCACAGATGGTGGTACATTGCGGTGAAACCTCCCCCCCACTTTTGTACATAGCGATGAAGCTCGACACAAGATTAAAGTGAAGCTTGACACATGTAATCAGTGAATTTTCAATTAAAATGTTCGCGAAACCCTGAAGAGCAATCGCCAAAATCGTGTTCGATGGAACTTTGTTTCAGAACTCCTGATCAATACTGCTGTGTTTGTAACTGAGACACCGAAATATAAGTGACAAAACCTAGTTTTTTTTCAGCAGATCTTAAAGGACACATGCAAAGGAAAAAAACATTTTTTTTTTAGACAGCTTAGATGGAAAAAGGATGTCATAAAACGATTTTACAACGAAGAAAAAAAAATTTTAGAGCTATATTTACGGCGCTATACGAATTTGTAATTGGCGCTCGCGGGAGCCGCCGCACGCTCAGCGTTGTGCGAACGCCGCTTCAACGAGTTTCTTTACGCCGCCGTCGCCGCCGCCGCACAAGTTTGTCTGCTTCGGGGCGCCGCTGCCGTCATCTGACCGGCGCACAGGTCTACCACGTCTGCTTGCGCGTTTTCAGGAGTTTCCTTTGGGCTCTAAAAGTTACTTATCTATCTTAGCTTTTTGTTATACGTCAAACAAAGATGAATAAGTTACTTTTAGAAGCCATAGGAAGCTTCCGAAAGAGCGCAAGCACCACGTGACAAATATGGGCCCGTCAAGGGCCACTTTTCTGCGGCGCCCGCCGGCGCCAAGTACAAATTCGTATGGCGCCGTAAATATAGTCCTAAAAATTTTTTTTCTTGGTTGTAAAATTGTTTTATGATATCCTTTTTCCATCTAAGCTGTTTAAAAAAAAATGTTTTTTTTCCTTTGCATGTGTCCTTTAATACCAAACCACCATGCTACCTGCAGCCTTGAATTGCTTCCACAAAAGAAATAAAGCATATTAGGCTCCTACCTCACTCTGCTCTGCAAGAAGGGCTCGCTTGATTCTGTGTCTGGAAAGAAAACACACATTGAAAATGAGTTAATTGTAATTTTGCATTAAACAAACTGCTGCCTGATCCACGAGGAATGTAGAGTCCTAAGCTAACCCTATGCATCGGCAGCCCCGTTTGCAATCGTAAAATAAAAAAGTTTTGATTACATTAGTTTATGTGGTATATGCAGTAAAGTCCATGTTACTAGTTAACCAATCATACATTTTTCATTTGCGTATTTGCCCCCGTAAACGAAGGAAGTGGTAAGCAGATTGGGCTGTCTAAATTGCACTTCTATTTCGAATGCCTGCACGTTGCAAACCTTTGGCAGCGTCCTCTTCATTTGATGGCAAATTTGTGAGTTAACTATAATAGTGTAGTTATGAGAGTAGTGCATGGGTTATTTCCCAGACATTAGTACCTTCTAACACCAACTGCTTCGCTTCCGTCAACGCTGCTCGCCGGATTCAACAAAACCACTTGGACAAACAACCAGCCAATATTTTGCTTACATTTATTTTCTTGCTGACAACTTATGATGTTCCGTATGCATTACTCACCACGGCCCAACCAAACATTCACAAGACCAGCTGAAAATCTGAGCTTTGACCACATGTATTGTGGACAAGATTCGACTTCCCGCGTTGCATCGCTTCAGGCTGAGTGTGCATAAATATTTTGCTTGAATCAAACCTAACACCCGGTTCATTAATCAAGCATCTGTAATTGTCGAGGAGCTTAATAACATACACTGCACATGCGTTCAGTAGAGAAAGCTATGAATAGATGCATGCCGTTTGGACAAAAGTCGACACAACCCTGCTTTGTATCGAGGGCTGTTTCGAGGTGGTTGTGATTCCTGAAAGAAATAAGGTGTTTGCAAAAATGTATTACTGGAGTAGCCGGCTCTTTGCTAAGTGCCAATATCTTCAGAAGTCAAATAATAAAGAAAAAACATAATTAATGTTTACCAGCTCCAAATTGTAGATACACACTTTAAGAGTAATGCACCGTACCTTGTTAGTTGTACCGAAAGGATTATTCTAACATGCAGCTCACCACTCATTTTAGCAAGTTTAAGATATATGCGCAGAACAAGTCGTCTGCTTCTTGGGCAGGGGTTGCGATGATATCAGAAAGCCAAGCTCTTATTGGCTCATTGAAAGAAGTAGTGGGTAGACCTCAAGGCATCTAGCATTGAGGTCTACCCACTATCTTTTTTGATCAGTCAATAAGAGCTCCACATCATTCTGACATCACCGCTACTCCTGAGCAAAAAGCACACGACTTGCTCTCCGCATGGAATACTGACACACAGATATAAACGACTTACTTCTTCGTTAGGTCATTGACCAGCTCAGAGATATACTTGTTTGTATTCTTCAGCCGGTCGGCCCGAATTTTAGCAGTAGCGACTGCTTTCTCTTCTGGCTTCAATTCTTTGTCCAGCATTATTTTGGTCTCTTGTTCTGTTGGATGGTCGCGTATGTACTTCTCCAACATGTCTGAAAACAAACAAAAACAAATTAGAACCCCTCGAAATCTACTCGTTTTTTTCTTAGTTTAATTGACTCTGGAATCGGCATACAGAAGACTAGCGATAATTAAATCTCGGACATTTCATACTTTCAATTAATTCAAACAAAAATCAAATTTTTAGTTTTTCCCTTATGTTTTCAGCTTACTTCAAACTAGACCATTGAGTTAATTCCTACTTCTGCTTGTTTGCACCGACAAATATGGGCTGCCTTTGCCGCCACTAGCTGAGCATTTGCATTCTTATTTCACCTAAAAATAGTCGAAAATAAAGCATATCACCATCCTGCACTTATCTAAGTGGTCAAAACCACTTGGACTACTCTGGCGACAGAACACGGCAATGCACAATCGTGTGTTGACGCGAGGAGAAGGAAAAAAAAAAAAACGTCCTCGGGTACGAAAGTGACACTTGGCCAATTCTGCTTTTCCCAGCGTGCTGCTGAAGGCCGACTCCGAAGCATGTGACCCGCCTTTGCAGTATTTGCTACTTTGCAGCCACCGTAGCAGGCACGTAGCCAGGGGAGGGCCCTTGGGGCCCGGGCCCCCTCGGAAATCTTCCATTTTGCTGGAGCCTCCTCCCCTCTCCTCTCCTCTCCCCTCCCCTCCCTCCCTTCCTCCCTCCCTCCCTCCCTCCCTCCCTCCCTCCCCCGAAACATAATCCTGGCTACATGCGTGCACCGTAGTGTAACGCACCACACATTCCCTCATTGGCTGTGGCAAAGTTTTCATCATGTCGCTGCGAGGTAAATACCAAACTCTCTCCGTAAAGGAGAAATTGGTTGCGATGGGAGAGAAGTTGATTCGGAAGTGAAGAAGTGGCACTGAAACATGGGATTACTAGGAGTATCCTGACTACCATTTTCAAAGTGAAGGACAAGCTTTTGAGCAACGCAAGCCGATTCGTACTGGATCAAAAAAGCCTTAGGGTAACGGCACACCCACAGCTTGAAAACTGAAACTTGGATTTCGCAAAATAAAGCTGCAGAAGCATTGAACGGGACACTACGAATTCCAAAACATCACTCAGAGATCGATATCTCAAACGGATGGCCGTATTTCTGGAAAAGAAGGGAGCAATCAAGTGAGGAATGTGGCATCACGGTTATATTCAAACGGTTCAGAATGAGGAGATGCGGCCTCGCTTCAGTTCACCAGCTCGACGGGACGAAGCGAGGAGGACAGGGAATGAGAATAGAATCGTAATGCCCCATGCCTCGCCGGCCGTGTTCAGTCGCGCATTTCTTTGAAAAAAAATATGGCCATCCGTTAAACACTGTATGAATGGTGTTTTTGGATTCTGCAGCATCCCGCCTATCGCTCCAGCCCTGTTTTGCGAGCTCAAAATTTCAGTTCAGTATCCCTTTAAGGGAGGAAGTGGGTTCTTAAAAACTATTTTTTGTTTATTGGTCTATCTCAATGATTTTTTGTGCAGGCATGTAGTTTATTGTGCTGATTTCATAACTGCAATCAGATTTCAGATATCTTTTCTTTGTCAAAAGTTATCAACAAAATAAAATATTAATTAGCTAATTTCAGGAAAAGTTTTAAAAAACCTTCTTATTAAAATTTTAATGAAAAAAAGGTATTAATTGCTTCCTAAATAAATGCCATACAAGCTAAAGCTATTTTTATTTCTTTAGCTCCATATAAACGTGTAAAAAAATTAAAGTGAATAGAAGACATACAGTAGGGGCCATAACAATGTCTAATAATGAAATGCCAGTTTTATATACCACAAAATATCATAATAAAAATAGCTTTAGCTTGCAGTCTAGTTCATTCCAAAGAATATGGTACCAAGTTTATGAAAATCGCTTGAGCGCAAGTGAATCAAAAAGCCTTCCTGGCCGGAGAAGGGGCTGAAAAAAACGACGCTGAGAAAATCGACTTTGAAATTTGGGTATGCATAACTAACAACATTGAAGCTTTAGATGGGTGGAATGCCTTTGGTTTGAACTTCATACTAAGGGAGAGACACGGGTAGGGAAAGCAGACCCATATGCAACAATTGGTTAGCCCTCAGAAGGGCTTTTTTAGGGGACGTGGGGACGTTTTCAAAGCACCGGCTTGTGAATGGGCGCGGCCATTCCGCACTGCTCACATTTGGCAGTCGCGAAGAACACGTTCAGCCCGTTCAAATCCACGATCACGAATTGCGTGCCAAAATTTGTCTCTTTATCCTCGACAGCGACATTGAGGAGGTCAAACTTCCGTTATGTGGCAGACTTCTTCGCGGTCAAATCCTGCTTCATCTCGTCAGCCCGCGCCGCACGTTGAGCAGTTTCGCTTGCCGTGTAGAAATGCGAGTCGAGTCGTGACGCACCAGGGTCAAAGCCGTCGTCTTCTTCGTTGCTCACATTTGGGGCGGACACCTCGGAAGACGATGCAGCTGCCGACACCTTGCCGCATGTCCGCCGCAAGCAACGCAACTGGCGATGCGAGCGAAGTCCTTGTTCTACGCCCGACGCTTCCGCTTGCCGTACGCACGCTGCGTTGAAAGCTTCACGCTAGGCATCGCGATCACTACCGATGTCTCCTAAAGACGTCGACCTAAACAAAGCAGGCGAACGGGCGAACGCCGAAAAATAATGTGCTTGAAGTTTCAAAACGCAACCGCTAGCAGACGACAAACAACGATATCGGCTGCTCTCGACTGCTTCCGCGCCGCGAGGAAGGAGAGGAGGGAAGAGAATGACATATTTCAGGAGAGGAGGCATGCGCTTCGGCCAATAGCGACAGCGCTCGCTGCGGCCCGTGCTTCTTAGCCAATCGGTAGCTCGGTTTCTTTCTCTGGGGAAACGCCGTATTCTGTGCTTTCCCCGGGCGGACGCCATTTTTAATGGCGCCAAAAATGTAGACAAAGAAGCAAGCTTTCGAACGAGACCAAAATGGCCGCGAACGGGCGCGCACCGGCGGCGCGCGGAGGGCGCGCGTTTTGACATCAGTTTCCTCTTTCGGGAAGATTTTTAGCGCGTTCCGCGCGACGTAATTATCGTTTTTTTTATACTTTGAGTTTGAATTACGCTATAATATTTTGAAGAGAGGTGCTTGGATATGTAAGGCACCCAAATACAGGATTTCTAAAAAATGAACTTTTTCGCGATTTTTTGCATTTTTAGGACCCGCGTCCCCCCTTAAGCGTGCACGGAGCTCCAATCTGCCAATAAGTGAACTGATCCTGCGAAAAAAAGTTGACAAACTATCCTTGCGGTTCGTATAAAACAAAAATGAAGTTGTGATAATTTAAACAAAAATCTGTGGTTTTGTCAAGTATAGATTAACGAACATCTAGTGTAATTGCAAGTCTTTTAAACTCTAAAAGCATAGAGTGCTGCTAAACTCTTCTTTTCAAGAAAGCAAGCTTTATGTTTAGCTAAAACGGTTTTCATGATAATGTGGCATTATCACGCAATAAAAGGTAACTGATAAGTGCAGATATTTTTCTGTATTACACAGTTTATAGACCTCACTGCAAACGTAAGCCTCTTAATTCAGCACATGATTGGAGAAATCAGCAATGCACCTGAGGAGGAGCAATGTCAATTTTCCCAATTTCCCCACGCTTTTTTTTACGACAGAACCAGTAGAAAGCACACAACCACTAGAGAGCGCATCATTTCTATGCTGACAGTCACTGCAAGCATCTTAGAAAGTAATTATCATATTTTTCTGTATTACACAGTTTATAGACCTCACTGCAAACGTAAGCCTCTTAATTCAGCACATGATTGGAGAAATCAGCAATGCACCTGAGGAGGAGCAATGTCAATTTTCCCAATTTCCCCACGCTTTTTTTTACGACAGAACCAGTAGAAAGCACACAACCACTAGAGAGCGCATCATTTCTATGCTGACAGTCACTGCAAGCATCTTAGAAAGTAATTATCTTACTGCGAACAGCAATCTTCTTTTCCGGCGTCATGGGAACCTTCCCTTGAGCACCCAGTTTTTTGAACCTGTTGCAGGGCCTGCTGCTCACGCTTCGTTCAAGTAGTTGAGGCGTCGTCCACATTGTCCTGGATGCATCCTTGGCACACTTCGAATCACACGTAGCTTTGAATACCAACTTCAACTTGCCACAGGGTATAAGAAGGTTGCACCCCACATGAACCTGGAAACAGAACATTGTTGAACATAGCCTACAAGATATGCATCGTAACTTTTAAGAAACAGACAACAAGTCAATTCAAGCCACGACAGTCCTTTAAATAAAGGTGCGAAGAGATGATCACCTCATCATAAGGTGTTCACAAGCTAATGATATGTGAAAGTATGAAAAGGGCTACCTTTTTTAATACTACTACAGTCGAATCTCATTAATTCAAACTATCTTAATTCAAACTAACATGCAGGTCCCATCCTATGCATCTCTATGGGAGGTAACTCCTGGTAATTCAAACATTGCTTTATTCAAACAAATTTTCGGCCCCCCTTAAGTTTAAATTAATGAGATTCGACTGTAGATAAAATGTATTCCTCCGACACCTGAGTATATCGCTAGCCATTAAACATAATTGAGAACTGCAAGGGGTTTTGTTTACCATATACGTATGATCCTGCCACGTCCCCGATTTTAATGCAACAATATAATGAGGAAAATACCAGATTCTACTTCGCAGATTTAGGATTAAACAACACATTGTTCATACAAGGTTTCATGAAACTCAAACTTTGCGATGTTGCACATTTTCCGAGGGGATCGGTGGCCGAGTGGGCCAGTGCACACCAGCTCAGATCACGTGGAGCAAAAACTAGCGCTGCAGAACCAGGGATTCTAAGTACAGTTGCACCCCTGCCCGTTTCGATCTGGATGAGCATTGTACCGGCGTGTGGGTGTGTATCACTACTATGTGGTACGCGTTGAAGACCCCAGGCTAGTGGTTGTACTGGCTAAATTTCTCCTCTACAGTGGGAAACAAGTCGCCCATTGAGGCAGACTAAGTTCTAAAATGTATGAACATACACACATTGCAATTTTTTTTTGTGCACATTTGCCAATGCAATCATTGTTTAAAGGAACCTCCAACTGAAATTCTTTCTTTTACATAATAAAACTGCAGCTGAAGGTTTAAAACAAGAATCCGAAAAGAGCAAGTTTGACGTGCTGGTGAAGCGGATATTGTAGCGAGTTTGTTCGACTCCATTCAACAAGTTTCGTTTCAGCCGGCACTCCCCGAGCGGCTGCACTTGCCGAGTCCATTTTGGGGCCAGCACATGCGGAGTACTGCAGCTGCTTGCACCAGATCGCCATCCCAGCATGCATTGCACACTAAAGTCGATAGTGATGAACAGCACAAGTTGAGGTGATAATGTCGGGTAATCTAGCACCCCTAGCAGCGCTACTTGGGTCTACTTTCTCCACCAGCGAAGTTGAAGAGCTCCTTCAAGAGATCAATAGCTTAAGAAGCTAACTGAATTGCGTCAAGTATATGAACAGCATCATTGCTATGACGACAGAATCTGTTTCACCTTACATTAGGCCGTAGCTAAGGATAAAAGCATGATGGCAGCTTGTGCAATTTAGCTGCATTCTTGAGCTAGGAGCTCATACTACAGTATAGACCACTTACAACGTAACCGCTTATAGTGCAGGACCGGGTATAACGCGGCTTTTTTAAACCACCGGTTCGCCTCCCACAGAACTCCATGTAATTGCATACCGCTTAAGATGCAGGCACGCGAAGGGAAATACCGGTTATAGTGCGGTTTCTGGAACAGCCCGCTGACCGACCAACGCAGCGAGCACGCTTCCCTGTGCGACACTAGATAATGGCGCTAGCCGCAAGTGGCACTCGCGGGGCAAGACGCGGGGCAAGGAGGTTGCTCGAAGAAGCAGGGAGAAGCGAAGAGAGAGGCTTCAGTCGCCATAGCGACGGAGGGACGCACGCACGTGTCGTTCACGTGCGTGTGTCCCTCCGCTGCGTTGGAGAACAACCGCAACGACAGACCAATTGCAGGTCGAGGAGAAGTGTTCGCGCGCGTTGCATGCCGGTCGCGGGCCGGCTGCTTCTATCCGCAAACATGGTGGCAGTTGTAATTGTCGACGTAGACTGCGTGGTTATGGTGGCTAGCATTGCGTGGTGGAAGCTCATTGTTCCGCGTAAAAGCGCTATCCTTGACTGTGAATTTTCGTTGTGTGTCGCTATGATAACCCAGCACATACTAGAAGGGAAGATCCACCGACTCATGCGGCGATGTCGTGGCGGCACTCTCAAGACGGCAGAAACGCTCATGTTGTCGTGTTGTTTACTTCGACTACAGTGGTGATTTCTAAGCATTTGTGTTTTCGAACATCGCCCGGATTTCTTATTTGGAGCATTTCATGCCTGTGCTCAAAATGAAGGTATTACTGGCGCGTACCGTATAAATGATGCAAATTTTCACGCGTTTTCATCACCGGAGAAAAGTGATTAGGGTTAGCAATCCTGAACACTCGCAACGTCCGTCCGCAACCCGCGACGCCGTTAAAAGGTTGCGTCAGGCAAAAGTCGCTTATTTCTTTCAAAATGTGTGACACGCTTAAGAGAGAAGCGAGAGAAGTGTACTAGTCTGGTGAAATAACGACTTTCCTCAAACTAAGCTTTATTTTTCATCTAACATAAAATAAATTCTTTTACAAAGGTAGGTTGTCTGATGGCTTGCATTTTTGGCCTGAAAAATTGATGTTTTGGTTATAGTAGTGCGGTACCGCTTATAGTGCGGATTTTCGCGACTCCCGCGACATACGTTATATGCAGTCTACACTGTATTTACCTACATTGCGGTCTATCATAAGGTGAGAAGCACAGTGCTTAGATCAGCCATGCAGAGCGTCGTTAGCAGGATTGCTCAATAACTTGTTTTGGGTATAAGGCCGCAAAGCAGAATATTCATATTTCCAAAATCGGCGTCTGTGCGCGTTTCATAAGTGCTGCCAAAAATGATGTCAAAAAATCTCTAATAGAATGGTTGTTCACCACATTTTTCGTCGCAAATAGAAACAACTGGCACTCCACTGTTGCATTTCTGCCTGCTACGTAGCCTAACAGCAAATTTGTTTTGGTTCATAGTTGGCACACGTACCACAGCAGAGATAGCAAAAGCATCGTGGTACACTCGTCAAGTGAACCAGGTCTCAGGGTAAAACTTATGTCGATGTGTCAAACAAACTCGCTATTACAGAGGCGACCACAAAAACGTCATGTCTATGGTGATAAGGCTGGCCACCTTACACCATGATTCTGTGCTTTGTTCTTTTAGTTTTTGTTTTCAATTTCGATTCGAACGCACACATAATTTTGAGTATATAATTTGGGGTGAAAAAAGCATGTTAGTAATGTGCAAATGCTGTATCCCTTCAATTTAGCGAAGAGTGCTTAAAACTGACTTGGATACCAACCTGTCCTTCGTGTTCCTGGAATAGTGGAGTTGATGACCTGTTTGCAAAATCCTCGCCGAGGTCCTCAGGACGGGGCTCTGGAGGGGGCTCAGGAAGACGCTCAGGAAGTAGCTCAGGAAGGTGCTCAGCCAGGGGCTCAGGCAGGGGCTCAGGCAGGGGCTCAGGCAGGGGCTCAGGCAGGTGCTCATGCAGGTGCTCAGGAAAGGGCTCCTCTCCCTCCATGCACGGCACCTGCCATAACAAAGTACACAATAAAACCACTTCAAATTATATTCCACTTGAAGTTGTTTCCAGTACTGGCAAAACCACAGGCACAAGGACATGGTTTTCAAAAGCACTTTCTACATGCCAGTAGTCATGGGCTGCATTTACATGGATGCGACCGTAGCGCATCGAGTCGAGATTTCACGATTTTGATTGGTAGCAGTTGGCTAGAAGAGGAAGAAGTAAGAAGACAGGCTGCGTGTGATTGGTCCCTGCTCGATTCGATGCGCTACGATCGCATTCATGTAAACGTAGCCATGTATGCAAAGCATTTTGCTGTTCGTTTCGTTCCCACCCACACCTTCATCAGTACCGAAAAGAATATGTGAAATAGAGCATAGGGTCAAGTAAGGTGTTCTCCGGCAAACACATCTTTACGCAATAAATCATCAATATTCTGTTCAAGATGTATCAGAGATGAACCGGCTTTTTCATAAACAGCAATTTCTCACCAAGGCCCGAGCGGAGACATCGCTGATTGGTGGTCGATTCCTGGGAACCTGGTCACTGGGTCGGCTATCATAAAAATAAAGGCATACTGAAGTTACTCCGAACATTAAAATATTTCATAAGGAAAGTTAAACAAATTACCCCAGCACGCTGGTCCTTGCACTTGAAACGCTTAGTGGTGCAGGAGCTGCCTCTGCTTGAGCTTGTGGTCCCGACTTGGACATTAGCTCCTGGATGAACATCTATAAATATTAAGATTTAAGAAATCTGCAGTTTTTTAAAACAACTATAAACAAGCCAGTTCATCCCAAAGTGCACATACCAAACTTAGGAGGGTCCAGGACAAAGCTTTTCTTAACTGCCGCTCCTCCTCCAGCTCCTTTGTAGCTGCTAGCTCCGTCTTCACACGTTTCAATTCTCTCTCCAGATCACCGTTAGCCTCCCTTTCAACTCTTAGCAGCTTCTCAGGGACAACCCCTTCGTCATCATACTCACTGCTGTCGACACTCGGTGCCGCCCTTTTTTTCCTGCTCAGAATGTCGGTCATCTCCTTTTTGCGTGAAGCCCTCTGGGCAGACATCTGCTCTCGTCTTGATCTTGTACTGGTTGCCTGTAAAACCAATCTGTTACAACTGTACCATGACACACATAGGGTGGTTCAAGTCACCAGGCTCGATCTAAAATGGACCGTAAAAATCGACGCCTGCACGTAGCCATCTAAACTTTTCGTCAAAGGTGTAATTCACAGGTTGGTTTTAGAGCGCAGCTCTTAGGCGGCTGTTTCCGGCTTGAGCGGCGTCGCCGTCGGTGTCGACGTCGCCGTCGGCGTCGGCGTCGCCGTCGGCGTAACCGCGCGGTGCATTATGGGTAAATTTCCCCTCTAAACCTAGCGGAAATATTTTCCCGCTAAATCTACGGAAAATATTTTCTCGCTAAAGCTAGCGGAAAAATTTCCCCGCTAAATCTAGCGGAAAAAGTTTCCCCGCTAAATCTAGCGGAACAAGTTTCCCCGCTAAATCTAGCGGAAAAATTTCCCCGCTAGATCTAGCGGAAAAAACTTCCCCGCTATATCTAGCGGAAAAAATTTCCCCGCTAAATCTAGCGGAAAAAACTTCCCCGCTAAATCTAGCGGAAAAATTTCCCCGCTAAATCTAGCGGATAAATTTTCCCGCTAAATCTAGCGGAAAAATTTCCCCGCTAAATCTAGCGGAAAAATTCTCCGCTAAATCTAGCGGAAAAAATATCCCCGCTAAATTTAGCGGAAAAATTTCCCCGCTAAATCTAGCGGAAAAAATTTCCCCGCTAAATCTAGCGAAAAAAATTTCCCCGCTAAATCTAGCGGAAAAAATTTCCCCGCTAAATCTAGCGGAAAAATTTCCCCGCGAAATCTAGCGGAAAAAATTTCCCCGCTAAATCTAGCGGAAAAATTTCCCCGCTAAATCTAGCGGATAAATTTTCCCGCTAAATCTAGCGGAAAAATTTCCCCGCTAAATCTAGCGGAAAAATTTCCCCGCTAAATCTAGCGGAAAAAATTTCCCCGCTAAATATAGCGGGAAAATATCCCCGCTAAATCTAGTGGAAAAATTTTGGTCACGTGACCCGGGGAGTCACATGACACCCCGAGGTCACGTGACCTCTGAGGGGGGCACGTGTTTGCCCCCTCGTGACCCCACCAAGGTCACGTGCCCTCGGGGGGTCACGTGAACCCCCCCGAGAACACGTGGCCCTCAGTACCCTCCCCTCCTCCTCCTCAAGAGCTGCGCTCCAATTCGGCGTTACAGGGAGTGTTAAACGGCTTTCACTTTTTTTTTCTTGTAAAATTACAAAGCGTAGCTCTCTTTCTGTAAAAAATAAGGCCAAGAAAGTTGCCAGGGTCTACGGCGGGCAGCAATGCAGACGACAGTGGTCCGGTAGCAGGGTGTGTTTGGCGTTCGTATTAATAGATGGTGCTGCCTTCTTATCGCGACGTGCAGGCGTCGATTTTTACCACGGTGGACGGCTCGCGACCACCGTGGTTTATTAAAATGAATATAATCTTTTTGAAATGTACCTTCGGTTAAAAAATAAATGCGAACAATAAAAACAAACTTAAAGTAAAAAAACGCGTCTGCATAACGGCGGTGCTTTTGCTGCCAACGGATTTCGTCTGCGTGTCGTCTGCTTTCTCTCGCTGGTCGGCTGCACCTTCCGACGCTGCTCTCGATGCCATCTATCAATATCTATCAATACGAGCGCCAAACACACCCCGCTACTGGATTTAGTCTGGGTTGCCGTCCGCCGTAGACCCCGGCAAGTTTCTTGGCCCTACTTTTTACTAAAAGAGAACTACGCTTTGTAATTTAACAAAAAAAAACCGACCTGTGAGAGACACCTTTGACATAAAGCTTAGATGGCTACGTGCAGGCGTCGATTTTTACGGTCCATTTTAGATAGAGCCTGGTGACTTGAACCACCTTATATAACTAGAGAATTACCTGACTGTCATTGATGGGGCCCTCGAAGATAACAGGCAGAGCAGTTGCCCTTGACTTTAAGATGCTCTTTATCAGTTCCTGCTGATTTTCTGGTTTTGAAAACAAACAAAAAATAAACAATAAGCACATGAAAAGTTAGCCCCTTCTAAGAAACCTCTACAGCAAGTGTGATAGCCGGACTAATGAATATCCATACTAACGGGCACTTTAAAGGAGTTCTGAATTATCCCCTTTAAAGAATCAGGGAATCAGCGCACGCCAATAAGTGCGAGGTCGCGACCTGATTCACCAATTCTTTCAAGGAGTTGTAAGAATTGGTGAAGGGGAAGGATGGAGGGACAGGTAAAGTGGGTAGTGGTGGAGTGGGTGGTGCTACCCACTCCACCACTACCCACTACCACTACCCACTCCACCACTACCCATAAATGTTATGGGCGTATGAGAGAGTTCTTTCGTCGTTATTTATTTATTTTTTTTTGCAAAGGGGTGGGTGGTTGGGGCGTGTGGTGGCTTTTTCGATCACTTCACGCCGCATAAAGGCCCAACCACATGCCGCGTCGGCGTTTCCCGGTTAACGCCGAGGTCTGTCCTGTCCAGATATGCGCGTCGCTTTTTTTCGGATGGCCTTCGGGCGATGCGAGCAGGCGCCGGGAAACGCCGACTCGTCTCAGACGCGCTCGTGTGGTTGGGTCTTACGGACTTCTCACAGGTAAGGTGCATTTCGCAATGGTCGCGCAAGCGTGCTTAATTAGTTTCGTTAGCCTATGTGGATAAATTCGGGTGCATCTTATACACGGGTGCGTCTTCTATACCAACTTTTTCAATGAAAGCCTGCATATAGGGTGGGTGCGTCTTATACAAAGGTGCGTCTTATACACCGGAAAATACGGTAGTTATGCTGAGGCGGTGCGCAGGGGCCCTGCACCGCGCTCCGAGTCAAGGGCCACCCAGGTCTCTCCCGAGATTTTGGCGGCCGACCTCAGGGCCCCAGCTCCCCGACAGGGGCAGCAGCAGCTTCCCCCAGTCCCTGGTGGCAGCACGCGTGCTGCCCCTCCATCCGAGGACAGGTCGGCAGCTGCCGCGCCTGTCCCCTCTCCTAGGTCCCCTCCTAGGGAGGAGCGAGTTTCTCGCTCCTGCTCGCTGGAGAGGGTCTCCCTACCGAAGGAGCAGCATGGTACCCATGCAGCTCCTGTGAAAGGAGGTGTGAAGACAAGCTTGGGTGACCCTTCGCCCAGTTCGTCCGCCACTCCTCCATCCGGTCGTGGCCGGGGTTTTCCCCCACGCGTGCCAGGCCGGACTAGCTCTGTCATGCTCCATCCACCAGACACTTCCCAGGACATCGAGATACCAACTGATGCTGACAGTCAGTCTACTCCTGGGTCCGACCAGGATGGTATGGAATGGGAGACAGCTTCTCGTAAATCTAAAAAGAAGCAACCCGTAGTAGCGCCCAAGTGATAGCCCCGATAGCTGTTGCATTGTGATCACATCTTCCACCTAGGTCGAGTTGGCTCTCCATAGTTATATTTATTTTGCTAGGTTTTATATATTTACACACTTTTTTAATAGATGACAAAGTTACATTTTATGCAATGGAACTGTCGCGGTATTTTAAGAAATATTGATGTCAATCATTTTATGGATGACCTTCGACCCATCGCTCTTGCCTTGCGAGAAACCCATCTTCACTCTAATTCTTTTAACATTTTAAGACGTCATCAGGTTTTTAGGAAAGACCGTCCCGCTTCCAGTCCTTCTGGTGGCGTTGCAGTAGTTGTGCAGAGTGGAGTCGCTTGCTCTCAAGTTCCACTCCGCACACCTCTGGAGGCTGTTGCAGTGCGTCTCCTCGTGGACCGCCTTGTAACGCTTGTTTCTTTATACTTACCACCAAATATTCCTTTCAATCTTCAAGAGCTACAGGGACTTGTAGGACAGCTTCCTCAACCGTTTTTAATTTTGGGTGATTTTAACGCTCATCATTTCATGTGGGGCAGTACCCGTCAAGACTCCCGGGGTGGTGTTATTGAACGTCTTTTATTGTCTTCTGGGCTGTGTCTTCTTAACGGGAACGAACCAACTTTTTTTAGTGCAGCACACAACTCATTCACATCTATTGATCTTTCTATCGCTTCACCTTCATTACTTCCTTGCTTTTCATGGAAGGTTCTCCATAACCCTTTTGAAAGTGATCACTATCCTATTGTTTTAGAAAGTACTGTTCCATTGCCTAATCTTTTAAAGCGTCCCCCTAGGTGGAAATTAGACAAGGCTGACTGGACACTTTTTAATCTTCACTGCACTTTAGATACTTCGATTCTTTCTTCTATGTCACCCGAGAACGCTACACTTCATGTCACTGAGCAGATACTTAGGGCTGCTCAGCGCTCTATTCCACAAACTTCTGGCAATGTGCCAAAAAAATGTAAACCCTGGTGGAACAAGGAGTGTGCCACAACCCTGGCAGACCAAGACAGGGCCTGGGAAAGATTTCATAGATATCCCACTTCGCACAACCTTGTGGAGTTTAAACGCCGAAAAGCCAAGACTCGTTGGACTAGGAAGCGGGCAAAACGGAAGTCTTGGATGAAGTACCTGTCTTCTCTAACTAGTTTTGTCCCTGCCAAAGAGGCCTGGGACAGATATAGGAAAGTAAATGTGGAGTATAGGTGCTTTACCATCCCAACGTTTAATGCTCCTTGTTCGTCATTAAAAGACATAGCTAACGTCCTCGG